ATTTCTTAGATGAGAGAAAGCTTCCGTACACAGTAATCAAAGCTTCGTTTACTCTTGTTTTGTAGATTCGCTATCAAATTGCGTACATCTCTTGGTCAAATCACTCGGTAATACAACTAAGAAATGGAAGTCCGAAGCTAATAAATTTATTTTAAAAAAATAATTTAATTAAAAAAAAAATAATAATTTTGCTTCGGACAATTAATTATCATTAACGGCAGAAAACTTTATGCTATACTTTGAATTATAAAAAAAACACGAAGTTATCATTATGATGAAATATCTATTTCTCACTACAAATTTTATCCACAACCATCACTACGCATCTTAACTTTATTGATCTATTGAAAAGTTGGAACATGTACAAGTTACAGTTGTGATTAAAAACAAACAAGTCGCGTTGGCTCATTCGTTTGAGACTGACTCGCTCGGTAAGTGAATTGTCCTACCTCCTGGAAGCTGCTCATATTAATTCGAATTTCTGCTATTTGTCGGTAAAAATCATTGATATATAAACAAATTCGATCAATCTCATTAATATAAGCACTGGCATCACTATTATCATCATGTACCTGTTCATTTAATGTGCATTCCTTGTTCCGTCATCGAGATATCGTGGTGAAAGAACATTAACAGCATTACGTTTATTGATCTCTGCTTTACGAACTGGTGCAAGCGGTGAACTGATGATAGGTCGACTTTGGAGATAATTCCCTTTAAAATCTAAAGATAAATGATATCTTCTAATTATTTTTACATCTAAATAAATATATATATGAATATAGACGAATGCTTACCAACAGAACGGATGACTTTTTGTTGTTGCGTCATCAATTTTAACTTAATGTTGGCGCCTCCCTTGGTGGTCATATAACGGGACGGGGTTTCATCGGGTGGTGAGGGTTTTTGCGAACTTCGTGCAGCAAGAATCGGGGTATATGACGGCGTATTAGTTGATTCATTGTTGTGGTCGATAAGGAGTGTGCTATTTTCGTGTTCCTGTGAAGAATCTATTGGCAACTCTAGGTCCTTTAGATCGCTGCAAACTTTCCTGTGTCTTTCTTCGTGCAAAAAAGCCTGTTCACATATTCTCATTGACCTACGTCTGTAAAACAGTCTCGTTGTGAAAATTCCGCTGATTTTAATAATTTTTATGGATGCTTCCATATGGCATGGTAATGCAAGCCTAATGGTATTCTAAATATTGGCGCCCTATTTGCAAATGTACAGTAGCAGAAGGATTTATTTACCTTTTGTCTCTGATCTGTCTATAGACATAACTTCCAATATACCATATTATAAGCGCGAATAGGAGCATAAACCATTCCCGTGCACTTAGGGATAGATGGTATAGACTGTTAACACAGGACATTTTGACAGTGACGCGTCTTAACGTTGCATTCCATATTATCGATCTTCGATATATCACATGATTCGATTATTTGGTAAAATCATGTGATACCATACCATACCATATATACCGTATACCACTGCATACAATACCCCGGGTATTAATCAATTTACCCCCTAATAAATTGATTAATACCCGGGGAGATATTTTACTAGGAGGGGGTAGTATTAGTGGCAGGGTATATCATTACTATAAAATTCAAAATACATACTAGTCTTACT